GAATGACTGCTTTGCGAATCTATCGAGCACGTTTTGTTTTAGCATAATCATACGGATCGCCTTTCAATCAAAAATGGATACATATTGTATTCATGTTGTCACCACTGCTAAACATTCCAAAGTGTTCAGCATTTGCAAATTCAAGTTCGAATATCTTACTTATCGACCAAAGAAGCGATTTCCTTATCTTTCTCATTAATTCGTTGACCCAAATTTTCATTTTCAGCTTGTTTCACATTCGCTTCACTTCTTGCTTNACCATATAGTCTTCTTATGTGAAAATATCATGCAGTGAGATGCGACAACAATAAAAACAATCAAATTGTCCACGTTTGAACGTGCTTTAGCAGTCATTTCCATCGGTATCCTCATCAGAATTAATATTTGTTTTATGTAAAGGGACTATACAATACCGATTGTTAGCATCTGCAAGCCATTGTCGATGTTCTCCAAGACTCCATTCTGTATCAGCTTTTATTTTATTGAGGTCATCAATAGTGCGATTTTTATCAGCTATTTCATTTCTCAAGTCCTCAATCACGCGATGTAAATTGCTGAAATAAGAAATTTTGTATAGGGACGAAACGGATTTGAATATGGTGCCGCATTCAGATAATCAATGCCATTAACACCTTGACTGAAAACGATGAGTGCTATGCAAAAACGAGCTCATTTCAGCAACATGACAGACTGGCTGCTTGATGAATTCACCACTGAAATTTACTTGCGGATAACATTGCATGAACAACGGAGACAACTAACTTGATTTCCTCTTCTTTCTCATCGATTTCTGTGACTGCCTTATGCAGTTGGTCTTCTTTTTCTCTCAGTTTGGCCTCAAGACTACACGTCTCTTCAGCTGACTACAAACAAACAGGCATTCAAACGTAATATATGATAGTTATTGCAAAAATTTTAACGAGCATAAACACCGTTACTGAATACACCATCGATAAATTCCACTTTTCGAACTCATCGCAGATAAAATCATTATGATAAAGCGGAATGAAGATGCAACCTGAAGCAAACTCACCAGTTCAGTGTGCGATACACCATCCACATCAGCTGAAAGTGTTTCTTTCAATTTATCTGAGAGTGCAGCCACCTCACTTTGTAGACGATCTTTTTCGCCATTCAAAGCATCGATCGCTCTTTGCTTTTCGGCGAGTTCACCCGACATTTGTGAATTTCTGAAAAACACTCGAATAGTGAAAATATCAAATATTTTTCATTTTTCACTGTGTCATTGCAAAAATGCTGATTGTCATTAATTCACTACATCTTACAAATACTTTGTTCTCGAATACAACCCAAATTTGCGATTGCAACACGATGACTTCCTTGCGAATTTGTAAGCGAACACAGAGCGATAAGAGTGCAGCAACCTAAAGCGGTCGCTGAGTAATGCAACAAAAACAATACCGTATCGAAGTAACGCTACCGATCGTTATAATAAAAAATAAAGCAATAATGTTATCTGTGAGTCTGCAAAAAACATGTTCTTATCAAAAGCAAAACTTCTATATCGAATTGATTAAGAGCCCACTGATTTAGAAAGCGCTGTTACATTCGACAAAACACAATAACAACTGCTACAAGGAAATCATTACGTGGACAATCCATCTTACTTTCATTTTATTGTATCATGAAG